GTAAAAAATAATATATAAATAAATAAAATATAGTATATGAAAAAATAATATATAATGTACAAAAACATGAGTATAATATATAAAAATATATAAATATATATATAAAAAAAGTAAAATATAATGTATAAAAAATTAAAATATAATATATGAAAAAGTAAAATATAATATATAAAAAAATGAAATATAGTGTATAAAAAAATAAAATATATATAAATAAATAATATATAAAAAAATAAAATATAATACATAAAAAAATAAAATATAATATATCAAAAAATAAAATATAATATATAGAAAAATAAAATATAGTATATAAAAATGTGAAACGTAATATTTGATTAATGAAATATTAATTAAAATAATTTTGGTGACAATAAGTAAACATATAACGAGTAAACAATTAAAATAGTGATAAAGAATAGTTAATATAACAAAAAAAAATCGATATGAACTATATTAATGTAAAACAATTACAAGGTGATAATAACAGTACAGTAATGCCCCCTATAACGCGAAACTAATTATGAACTGTACAAATCCCCGCGTTATATAGGGGAATACCTGTCTTATACGAGGGATTGAAATGGCATAATATGAAAACGCGTTATAAGGGTACCGCGTTGTAGGGGGATTACTGTATATAATAACTACTTACAAAAATGATAAAAAAACAATTACAAATAGAATTGATATAAAACATGAATACCTGCACCGAGATCGACGCTGGTTGTAGAGTCATCTGGTGGTAGTAATAAAAAAATAAAATAAGAAAAATGAGAAAATTATTAACACGCAATACCTACCTCCTGGTAGAGCTGGAACCGATGTATCAAGAATATGCGTTTGATTATCAATTTGCGCTGCCGAAGTAGCGTCCATGGTAACAGAGGAAGAATGCAAATGACGCGCAAAAATATTTTAAACAGAATGTGGATCTGAAAAATGGCAACACAACTCTAAAGATGTAATGCGCCAAAAAAAAAAAACTACCGTTGGTACGCCGGGTGATGGCTTTATATAGGTGTAAGAATATTGGCAATGCACAACCGGAATATAAACGATAAAAGAACTTACACACAATAAAAGCGGCGCAAAAAACAATAATAAGTGGAAATAAGTGATATTGACAATGCGCAACAGAAATAATAATGCACAAGACGACGCAGTACACGATTCGGAAACCTTTTAAACCGAAATGTGCATTGTCTGGATATGCAAATTTAAAACAAATATTAACACATACATACACACAATGAGAACGGAACAGAAAAGGATGGGGGCATTGCTTATATCCAAGACACGAACCAAAAAATACGATTCTTCTTTCAACGAGCTTCAATGAAGTGACAAGTTCAGTCAGTTAAGTTTCAAAAATAAAATATAAAGGATCCTTATACCAATAATTTAAAAATGAAAAATAGGTTCGTCACTTTTGCTTATTTCGTTCCTATTAAATACACATGTGTGGTTGGTTGTGCATTTCGCTTTAGCTTAAAAGCTCAGTTAGTCCGTATGTACCGTAAAAATTTAAGCGTACCTAAGCTAAAGCGGAATGCACAACCAACCACACCTGTGTATTTGATAGGAACGAAATAAGCAAAGTTCGCCGTTTTTGTTTACTTCGTTCCTATCAAATACACAGGTGTAGTTGATTCTACATTTCGCTATGACTTAAGTTCGCTTAAGTTCTTACGGTGCGTACCGACTAACTGAATCTAAAATCATATTATTAATATAAAATAAAAGTGACTTTCCCACTTTTAAAACGAATAATAGGTGAAATTAAAAGTTAGTATAATCAAAAGACAATATACATTTGTGCGGCAAAACGGTAAATAACTATGTACCTAACTATGTAGAAAAAAGTCACCACAAAAAATTAGCGATGGTAAAATGCAGACAAGAATAATTTCACAGGCAAGTCTGTTTTTTATCAACTGTGCTTTTGTAACCATTCATGTGATCGATTATTTAAATGATAATTTATGAATGAAGATAATTAAAAAAAAAAAAAAACAATGATGAGAATATTTTTAGAAAAATAAATATTTGTGATTTACAGTTGTAGTCTTAATAAAATAATTATAGTAAAATATATAATTCATTACCCTGGTAATGTGAATGTGTGGAGATATATCAATATTAATTAATGATTGTTGGTTTCAGTAACGAAAGTGTTGGATTTCTATCTTTTAACCTTCATAATCATTAGTTCTGGAATTTAATAACTATGCTCTTTTACTGTATTTTAGGTTAGATGCCATTTAAATGTTTGTTGCCTCTGTGCTTTTACGATAGAAAATGATTCATTTAACACATTTGGCACATATTTCAAAATTTAGTAATTTCCCTTGTGGGAAATTTATTTTTAATGGTTCAATTCAATATTTTTCGCCTTAAATGAGCTGATTTATTGATAACGACCTCATTTATATGAAAGCACTTTGTATGGTAAGCCACTAATGCTCATTAGTGGCTATAATGTGCTATAAGAATTTATTTTATTTTTTTGGAATATGATATTTTTTGAAAAGTGATATTTTAATAATAATAATTTATAATCATTTATAAAAAAAAAATAATTTATTATTGGAAAATATTATTTTGAAGTGTGATATTTTTAAAACTAAAATTTATAATTTTATAGAAAATAATATTTTATGTTTGGTATAATTGATGGGTTAGCCATTGGTATGGAATAATTATGTATTTGGTTGAATTATAAAGGGAATTTGAAGATAATTTTTACTTGAAATTTGTTAGAACAGAGCAAAAACAAAAATTTCATCGGTCCAGTGGATCTGTCGTATGAAAATATGGTATGAATATGTCAAACCCTGCGTTGTAAAGCATGCAAAGTGTGAAGAGGCTCTTCAGCTAGTGTATTTTAGACTTTTGCATTTAATATGGTTGATCTGTATCGATACCGCATTAAAATCCTTAAAGACCGTTGATGATGGTGCACATTATTGAAGAAGTGTATGTCATTAGTAAACTTTAAGAGAGTGTTCAGTCCATCATTAAGGATGAATTTAACGCCTCTTACGGCATTTTTGATTTTAGTTTTTTATTTTTCATAACTATAATATTTTTTTTAAAAAGTTTGATTTTGAAACTATAAAAAGACATTACTTCAAATATTATACGGTAACATTTGCGTACCTTTCGGATAGCATATGGATTCAAGACGATGTACTCAAAAACTGATACCTCAATATCGAACGAATTGAATCACTAATCCACCAAGATGATTAGAACAACTTGCAGACAGAGAGGATAATATTTGGGGGGATATGGCTATTGTTGTGAACTTTCAAATTAGATTTATCTTAATGCAAACTACAATAAGATTAAGTTTGCAACGTAATTGTGCTATTTTGTTATTGTTTCAACTAATGTCATCATTAATTTATATTTGATTATATTTGATTAATAGTAAGCCATCACTTTGGAATCACCTTAAATGCCCATCATATTCTTCAAACTATTCATGATTTGTTTTGGTATTGATATAAACTTTTTATTAGGATTAACGTAGACTGAACTGCATCTAGAATTAACCAAATTTCAACATTTTTTACAACTACCTAATATTTGATCCAAAAATTTATTCCATTTAGTTTAAAGTGATATTTCATTAATCTTGATATATAGTACGTCCTTTTTAATATATTCAACCATTAATGGCCATAAATCAAAATGACAACTTTAAGCACCTATATCGATAAATTGCAATACTTCCATTTATTATAATAAATTAATGCGAGTTTGAACGTGCTATTAGCGACTCTTCATTCCTATTGTCATACGAGGGTAGTTTAATAAGTCAGTGACTTTTTGAATAAAACAAATTTTTTTTGGCAAATAAACATTTTATTTTTCTACATAATCAACTTTTAGCTCGATAGATTTAGTCCAGTGTTTTTCTAATTTTCTTACTCCCTCCAAATAATAGGTTTTCTCAAAGCTCTCAAAATACGCGTTTGTTTCGGTAACGACGTCTTCATTCGACTCAAAACTCTTACCGCCCAGCCATTTCTTTAGGTTTGAAAACAGAAAATAGTCGCAGGGGGCTAAATCTGGAGAATATGCTGGATGGGGTAGCAGTTCGTATCCCAATTCATGGATTTGGGATCGTAATGCTAAATCAGCACACGAAATTCACTTTTTTACATTTTTGTAAAAATTCACGAGGTTGTCTGCTTTGAACGGCTATCAAACACCAACTGAACGACGTAGCTTGCTCAAAATTAGAAAGTTGCCCACTGGTATATTACAGCTGACGGCAGCACTGTTGCATTTGAAGTAACTACGCGGGAAATTCAAAATGTCACTGACTTATCAAACCGCATTAGTATTATTATATAACATAGATCGGCAAACTTCTTATAACAACTATCCATTAGAATATAAAATTTAATTTCTATACAATATTATATACATATTACTTTTATTAAATAATGCAGAACTCCGTCTCCATATATTATTAAAACAAATTTCATTTTTTTTGTTGTAAACATTTGCGTATTTATTTGATTTGAGTTTATATATAATATGTAAATTTTTATGTAATATTAATATTATATCATTAATTATTTTAGCTGTAAGAGGATAAAAACTGTTCGATAAATTTAATTTTGTTGCTGTGTTTATAATCGCGCGTCCATCAAAAATGTAAAATACATTACTTTTTTTTTTTAATTTTTTAATTATTTTGTTTTTTTTTCTATAACATTCAAATGTAAATTTATATTAGTTTAATACTTTTTTGCTTTGCTTCTCGACGATTCGTTTACTAAGTTTCTGAAATTAATATTTTATAAATATTTTTGCTGTAAAATAATTTTTTTTTACTTTACTTTACTTTTCTTTTTTGTATAATAATATTTAAATTTCACTTACGACTATAATTTATACCCTGTATTATTTTATTAAATCTTAAATTTCAAATGGAATTTGAAAATTAAAAAATTTTAATTAAAATAAAAATGCGAATTTTTGATGTGTTGATTTTTATAATTTTTTTTTTTTATAAAAACTATGTGTATTATATATTTATTTGCAATATATGTATGTTTAAAAATATGTATGTTTGTATAAAGCATGTTGGTGTTAAAACTAAAATTTTATAACTAAAAATGTAATAATGAAAAATTGAAATAAAAGTGTAAATGTCTGTTGTTCCATTAATTGGACATCTAAATTACTTCTTAAATAATAAGTTTGATTTGATTGCAAATGTATATTTTATAATAAAAATAGAACATTTTAACAATCAGTATCGTACCAAGCGGCCAAATTATTGTTGTCATTTGGTGGAGTTGGCATTGCGCCCAAATCAAAATTTAATGCACCAGCATCAATTTCCCCAACGTCCATATCCATTGAATATGGTGATGTTGGAGCTCCGCTTGGTGGTGCGCCACCTCCGCCGCCACCTACTGGACTGCTGATTTCAAGTCCTTGCATTGAATCTATTGGTAGAGTATCATATCCTGTTTAAGGTTGAAAATATGAAATTATTATTTTTGTAAAAATATTTAAATAATTTTTTTTTTCGATATAATGTGCAAAAAGATATATATATTATAATATTGCAATATATTAACTATATTTTATTTAGTTAAATCTAAACTTTAGGCATGCAAGAAACAATATCAAAAACTTTAAACAATTTTATGCAAAAAATTTGTGTTTAAAGCTACTATGTGTAAATTTTTTTTGTCTTGAAAAAAAAGTTTATATATAGAGTCAAACTTTCATAACTCGAAGTACCCTTTTGCAAAGAAAGGGAGACTTCGAGTTAAAGAACTTTTTTGAAATTGTATGTAATTTGGTCTCTAAAACCCTGTTGCACTCCTTTTAGTTCCGAGTTACAAAAAATTCGAGTTATAGAAGTTTGAATCATAGAAGTTTGACTATATATATATGGTAAAACATATGGTAAAACACGATTCTATTGACCATTTCAAAATAAAAGTTTGATTTGATTTTGATTACGCGTATTTTTTAAAATAAATTGATTTATTGATTTCACTCGCACAAAATCCACTATAACTATAACTAATTAATCCTCTCTTTATCAAAATCCAATATCAATTGCTAAAGATATAGAAAAAAACGATATAGTATATATCTGAATAGGAAAGAAAGCACTGTATAGATAAGATAAGACATTTAGTTACTAAACTATAATTCAAGCCTGATTTATTACTTTAGGTTTCTACTTCTCTTAAATATCATTCATTCAAACCGTATTGTATCCAAATATTAGCAGAAATTAGAGGTGGGCACCCAAGTACATTGAAATCAAGTTACTGTTATTTGGCACAACCAGAAAACCAGCATGCGCTAACCAATATACACTCTGTTTCAACTGCCCAATAACTTTCATGATGTTATCTTTTTGCGAGTCGGGTTGGCATTGGTATCTATTATCTACTATTTTACTTAGAAATCTAGACTGTTATGATCTATATAGAAAATTAATTATTTGTCACTTTTGGTTCTTACAGAGTTCCAATCATTTTTGAAGCATAACATTATAACTGACTGAAATTTTAGCATTTTAATTAATTAAATATTTAACTAAATGAGGTCTATTAAATTGATCAGTAACCTTAAATTGTTCAAACTAGCTTTTTAAACCTTGTTCAATGAAAATACAATAGATTTGATTAATCGTGATGTACCATTATTCCTTCTTATAAAAATAAGTTATTTAATGAAATGCTAAACACAATCTTTCGAAGTCTGCAAAGGCAAAAGTGATTGCTATAAGAAAAGCTATAGCTTGTCTGAAAGTAGATGATCTACTTGATAGAAATATATACATACTCTCAGGCAGTCAAGCTGCTTTAAAGTCCTTGAACTCAGTCCAATTTACATTTAGAACAGGCTTTGTCAGTCTTGATTTCAATTTGGCCACGCTCAAATAAAAGAAAATCAAACTCTCTTATTGAGACACCCCGTAGAGATATCAGCCTTGTAGTAGGTTTACTTAAAGGCCATTGTATTTTAGGTAACCATGCTAGGAGGCTAAACCACCCTTTCAACCATACCTGCCGCAATTGTGGAGAGGACGATGAAAGTGTCTGCCATTTTCTTTGATTCTGTCCAGCAAATGCGCGGCGTCGCCTTATCCATGAAGGGGCTTTCTTTTTAAAAAATCATACATATCTTAAGTTGGTTCACTTAAAGGCCATTGTGTTATAGGTAACCATGCTAGGAGGCTAAAACACCCTTTCAACCATACCTGCCGCTGTTATGGAGAGAACGATAAAAGTGCCTCCTATCTGCTTTGTTTCTAACCAACAAATGCTCGAAGTCGTCTTATCAATTTGGGGTTTTCTTTTTTGAAAATCTTGGCGAACTGCATGACTTCTCTCTGAATAGTATTATAAGCTTTGCCAAGTGGTTCTAACCATTGAGTTTTTAATTATACGATTCCATAGGCTTGTCGGTTTAACCTAATCAGTACAGAGAATCGGCTTTACTTTCTGATGGAATTGAGGAACGGCAATTGATAGTTAGATATTCACCAAAAATAAGCAATTCATCTGATCAATCAATCAATTTTAATCAATTGAATAGGTGCATGTAATTATCGAACTCGTATAATGAGGTAGATTCACAAACAATTAAATTTCGATTGTTTATTACTTATATTATTATATTACTTAATATATTGGGATACAAAAATCTTATTCTTCTAGTAATAATCATATTTCGCTTAATCAAATATATAATGCGAAAATATTACTGCTTTAAATAGTGCTTTATTTCGAATTTCAAATTTAAAAAACTAACACTAATAACTTATTATAAAATATGTTCTGGAACTGGAGACAGAGATAATCGATTTAAAAAATGTATGTTTCAATAGAAATAAAATAGTTTTTTTTTAAATTTTTTACGTGCACAAAAATCAAAATTTACATGCAAAATATATACGTGTATGCAGTTCTATACTATATAAAATCGAAGTAAATGTGAATATATTTGTTATATACAAACACTTATTGGGATTAGGCATGCATTTTTCTTTGCAAGCAAAATTAAAATTTGCAATAAAATTGAACTCGAATTTATAAAAAGAAATTAAACAAAATTAAAATGCTTTTTATTATTTGGAACAGAAGAAACAATGTTATTAAACTAAAAGTAATATAATTATAATAATTTTTAATTGCAAATAATTTATTTAATCACCTATTTTTCTTGAAGGACGCCGGTACTGAAACATTTCTCTGAATAGGTGTACGTGTGAATAGGTGTCTGTGATATTGTTTTTTCAATTAATAATTTGTGTTACGTACTTTTTTTAAAGCTCTAATTTTCATGTTTGAACATAATATTTAATCATTGATTTAATTAAATGTATAAAATTATTTAATTATATGCAATGGAATCGCTACTTTGGTTGGTACTATATAAGGTAGTCACTATTTTAGATAATGTAGTATATTGTTTTGTTTTAATTTCATTATTTTATTTTATTTTTTTCTATGTTAGAATATATTTAATTGCAAAATTTAATTATCGGAGGTTAAAAAATTAGCTTAGTTTTGTGATATATGTTATATATTAGTTGGCTTAACTAAAATAATTAACCACACATGAATTTTATATATATAATTTTTTTTTTTTTTTTGTTTTTGAATAATACATATAAGTTAATTTAAATTTATTTTTAAAGAAAAAAAATATCCGCAATTGTTTAAATTTACCGGACGAGCGAGTGGGCAAGTAGAGAAAGAAAAGTAAATATATTTGTTAGATTATTTATTGTTAGTCGTATATCAAGATTTGATTACATTTACTATATATTAATGAATGAGTGTGAATAAATAAAAAAAATTTAATTTTCATGTTTTCGAGGTGTAATTGTCATTAGCAAAAAAATTAAAAACTTCTTAGTAATTTTTTAAATATTTGAATAATAAAAGATAAATTAATCAATGACGTTTAGGGTTGACATATTGAAGGGCTTTTGCAGGGTCTTAGGGTTTGACTGGGTATATAAATTGAAAACATTGTGCTTAGCTATAAGTTATTACACATCAAAGTAAAAAGTATTTCCATATATTATATATAAATTTAATGTTTTTTTTATTTGATTTTAATATCAATATTTGTCGCAATTAGTTATGGAAATAATCTTTGGTAACTTGAACAATTGAACACTTTTCAAAATTAATTTTAAATACTTTAGCGCATAATCTTTTTAACATGTTTACGTTACAAAACTTTAAAAATATTTAGGATAATATAAGTTATTAAATAATAAATCAAGCCCAAAAGTATTTTAAATTTTAATAAAGAATTTCTGTCACCAGAGCAGATTAAGAACTCTTCTCTAGATTTAGACTTTACTCACAAAGCTTTAAGGGGCTTTGTTTAATCAATAGTGAAACTGGTACAATAGGACTCTTCTGGTCGCAGTACCGGCTGTTGGGCAAGTTTCACGTCTACTCTTTATTATTATTATTAATATTATTATTATTATTATTAATATTATTATTATTATTATTTTAAATTTTAAGTCATACGATTTTTTTATGGTTCATTAAACATCCGTGAAGTGTGTCATACAGATTCACACTTCAACCTAACCTACTATAACGTATTTTATTAATCCATTTGCAATCGGCGCTTAAGTCACATATATGATAAAATATAATAGCAATATAAACTGTAATTAAGTCGTAAATATATGCGAAAACCTTTATCTTAGATCTAAATACAGAACTTCTCCAAGAAAACAGATATTTAATCTTATGGGTAAATCTAATATCAGCTTCAGAAATGATTACATGAAACCGCTTATAACATTAAAGAATGAGAATTTAGTTTCATTAATACATTTAACGTTTGTATTATCTTTACTAAAACAAATACTAATTTTAGTTAAAAGATATTGAACTACTAAAATATATACAATTTATTTTATTGCTTTTCATTAAACATTTTTTAGCAATGAAAAAAATATATTTCACTAAAAAACATTATAATTAAATATTTATTGACAAAATATCAGATAAATAATTGATTCAAAGTTAAAGAATATTTAACTACTAAAATTTATTTTTCATTAACTAATTTCTATTTATTTTTTTTTTTATTTGCTATATTTTATTTTTATTTATATAAAATATATTTATTTTATTTTCTATTTATTTATTTCATTTTCATTTATTCATTTAATTTTCATATACTTTTATTTTTTATTTTTTTTAATACTTTTTTTTTAACACTTTATTTTTTTTATATTTTATTTTACTTTTTTTTATTACTTATTTCATTTTATTTTATTACTTATTTATTTTTCTTATATTATATTTTTTTATATTTTAAATTTTTTTAATATTATAATACAGTAGACTCTGAGTAAAACGAAAGATATAATGCCAAGGATTTTCGTTATTTCGAATACATTTCATAACCGACATTCGTTATTTAGAAAGAACATTTCAAGTTATATTAAGAATTCACTTAACCAAGAGTCCACTGTACACATTTCAACTTTCTACATATTATTATTATTTATATATATATATATATAATTTTTTTTTCAGTGTTTTATATGAACACTAACTCTAAGCTTCAAATTTGGCAGGGCACGCGTTCTATCCTTGGTACTTGCAGTCTCAAAAAAATTATTCACAAATTATTAAATATCTAACATAATTCCAAGACCACTGATGATGGGTATTTGGCAGCACTCGAAACAGCTGTATGATCAGCCAAAAATTCAATTGATTAAAATAATATAAAAATAATTTTTGTTGTTGTAGTTCACTACTTTTCGAAACCTTTAATTTATTTTTGTAAATATTAGTTAAATTTAATTTTTATTTAAAACTAAAACAAAATAAAATGTTGATATTATTTAATTATATTTTTTCTTGATTTATACATAAGTAGTTTAAATTTTCCTATAGAGTTAAATAAATATATATCTATGTATAATATTTTTAATTAATTTTACTTTGGGCTTGATTTATTTTTTGTTATATTAAAAATATTTAAAAAAATTATTGGATGGGGATGTAAAGGGGACTTTTAAACTCTTAAAATGAACTATAAAATTCAATAAATTTATTCGAAGTCTTGAATTGTAACAAAACATCTCTAATGTATTTAAATTGTTAAGAATATAGAATATAATCCGCATTATTAAGAATTTAAATATCATTTTACTATATACTCGAGAAATATCAAAATTAACAAATGTGTATTCTGTGCATTGAAGAGATTTTTTTTAAGTGTCCTGCGTTGTCTGTCTTGCAGAATACTTAACTTTGTGATTGATTTATGAACATGAAATATATGAACATGAACTTAGGGACGAGGGGAACACATATAAACACTTTTTTAGTGTTATAAGAAATTTAATCGTATAAACTCCCAATTTTTTTTTATAAGAATTTACTCTTTTTTTTGTTTTTGTATTGATTTGTTTGTTTTATTTTTAAATCAAAGCTACATGCTTCTTTGCAAAATGATGTTATGTATTTTTCAGTCGATATTGAAGAAAAAATATGTTTAAATTTATTTAACTGATTTGAAATAATCATACATACCTTGTTGGAATGCTCGACCGCCGTGTGAGCTGTGTACACTTGGTGGGCCTTGCCCATATAAGCCTTCATATGCTTGTTCAGGCCCAAGCATATCCTGCATTTTCAAAGATTGTAAAAAGTTGTTGTTAGGACAAAATGTTAAAGGAAATGTGTTGGTACATTTTGGTATAAGGATACAGGATTTATGCGGTGCAATTTGTAGCAAATTATTATTTTTACGTTTGGCATTAAGATATTCCGTGATTTTAAACGTTGGTGTTGTGATAAGTGAATTTTATTTTATTTTATTGTTTTGTTAAGTTCGTTTTTGTGATGTTTAAGTGAATTTTGCGATACAAATTAAAGTTGTCAACAACATAAAGAAAATAAAAAGAAAAATAAAATAAATTAATTGATAAAAACAAATTAAAGATTTAAAATCAATATATAACTCTATTAAAAATAATAATAATTACTATAACCATAAGGTGATTGGATGATAAACCAGCACTTATAATAATTGATTAAAAAATTATAAAAGTATATTAATGATTTGTAAATAATTAATAAACAATAAACATTTAATTTCAGTCTTTTTAGATATAAGACAAATTGAAGTTGTGAAGTTGAGTTGATTACAAATATACTTAAGGATAATAATATTACTTTAAAATCATTATTCTTTATTCTTTAGCTGCACATTCTTTAGTTTTTATTATTAATCAATTGTATTTGTTAAGAACAAAGTTTAATCTATTTAAAAAAAATCATTTAATTCTTAAAAACAATAAACGACACTGTCTGTTTACTTCGCTAAATGCAATTTGAGCTATATTAGTACTAAATTGAGTCAGATTTGAGCTAAATTAGTACTAAATTGAGTCAGATTTAGTTAATATTCAATTTAATAGTCTTCTTTTTTTTTTAACTAAAAATTCTAATAGTCTGCATTCTCTCCAACTAATATTCTCCTAGGCGAGATAACTATAACGTTCTGAAAAGCTTTAACGAGCTTTATTGATTAAGGGAATATATTTTTATTGTCGTTTTTGAACTACAATAGGTCCTCTAAGATAAATAGTTCCAGAACACAGCCGCCCCTTCTGGAAAATGTGAGCTATAATTTAGCATGCATTCTATTTATAAATCTATAAAGCATTTAATGACTCCAGAAGATAGCCACAGTCAGTTCTAAAGCCCATAAAAAGCTATCATTTAATTTATATTCTATTCTATAGTGATGAGTAGTTGCGGAACATAACCCCAACCACTCCTGAGACCCATAAACAGCTATAATTTAGTTTATATGCTATTACTTAACGTATATGAAGTAGACGCAATATGTTGTATGTTTTGAGAAACATACAAAAATAAAATGATCCGCTCGCTTGAAGTTCTTAATTTCAATTAATAATCTAGTTAAGTCATTTTTTTTTAATGAACTACCTCTACCCCTAATCAGCCTAGTGACAACAGTTGTCATGCCTTAAGAAAAATTCATATTGAGGTTCTAAATACTGCAACTAAATATGAAATATAGTAACTATGAAAATAGTGAATTTATAATTTTTAATTTAACAGTAACAGTAACACTGTAAATTTAGATTTAGTTCAAAATTGATTAAAGTCTCATATCCAAAATCATAAATATTATAAAGATGTTTCATTAACACAGTTTTTATTATTTAATATCGAATAATATAAAATATATCGAATAATAAAAAATATATCGAATAATAAAAAATATATCGAATAATAAAAAATATATCGAATAATAAAAAATATATTAAATAACCGAAACAAAATATTTTAGTCTTTCTTAAAGGATATAAATTAAATCATATAGAAAAAAAATAGAACTATTACCATTAAATAAATAAAAAATCATGATATAATTAAAAGATACAATGTTTTATGTTTTGTTATTGAATCCCCCATTAACATAATATATATATTGTGTAGTTTTACTGTGCGTTTGAACCAACATATTTTTATAGTTTTTTTTTTTCATCTCGTTTTATATTATTTTTATACTTTATCAAAATAAATAAATAAATAAAAGTATTTATAACAACATAAAAACATTTAGAGACAAAATTTTGAATGTTTTTAATTTAGTTAAGCTATAAAGTCATACAAATAAAGACTAGAATCAACAACTAATTTAAATAAATAAAAATAATCTGTACAATATAAATAAAGAGCAGAAAATATATATACACATAAAGCTACTGCCTAATTTTATTTACATTTATGTCTGATAATCACATTCAAATAAAGCTAATTAAAAACAAATTAAAAAAGTATGCACGTATACGATATTATCTATAAAAAGCATCATCTTTGTTTAGCCTACATGTGCTTATATGGCACAAGAGTTATATTTATTTAAGCATTAAGAATAATTACGCACCTGTAAATCTGGGCCCATACCCAGATCAGCATTGCCCCATATATTGTTATCTTCGCGTAGCAAAGAATTTGTTAATTCAATCGAAAGACGTTTCTTATAATCTTGTGGTTTATCTTCGCTCATGCGGAAGAGTACGGCTGCTGCATATGTAGCAACGCCTTCGTTTCGTGAATGCAATAAATCAGTTAGAGGACCGGTAGCACCCTCTTGTTCTATTATTTCAGCTCCATCTTTGTCAGCTGCCAATTCGCAAAGTACACCAGCAGCAACGCGCTAAAAGAAATCAATTGAGTTATAGAGTCAAAATAATCAATCAATAAAATTAACTTACCTGTATATTCTCAATTTCGTTAAATAGCAAACGTACAAATATCGGTATAACCGACTGTTGGCGTATTAAAGCGCGATTATGGGACTCACGTGCCAAAATATGTAAAGCACCAACCGTACCCTCGACAATCTCCTCCATACGTACGCCATCGGCATATGCAGACGGCTGTTGTGAGCCAGTTGTTGCTACTGACGAACGTTGCTAATAACACAAGAGATAAACCATTATTTTTAAATATATACATTGTATCCATAAGAAGTAATATTATTAACTTACACGTTCGGTATCCTGGAATGCACGCATGAGTAAGCGCACCAAATGATGTATTGCGCCATGTTCTCGTAGTGGTGCATGGTTTGCAGGGCACAGTGCCAAATTGCGTATTAAACCAATAACAGCCTTAATTAAAGGCCATCTTGATGGTGGATGTAATAATTTAACAATCACTGAGAGACCATAATTCAAACGCACTGCATTCTGTGCTGGTTCGGAGTCAACATGACGTGATGTCAAATGACGTAGAGCGCAAACTGCTGGCTCAGTGATTTCTTCGCGATCACCAGCATTTATAATAGTGCGTACAAGTGCATCTACACCACCAGCTTGGCAAACTGTTGCTTTGTTGCGTTGATTATTGCAAGTTAAGTTTGACAAAATGCCAGCGGCACAAGTAACAACATTCACATCAGTAGAAGCAAGTACGTGTACTAAGGATTGCAAAAGCGTCTCAAGGCCTTCCACCTTAGTAGCAGCATCTGAAAGATTACGCAAAGTCCATAAACAATTTTGCACAAGACGTGGTGAAAGATTTCCCAAATGCATAGCTAATGCTTGCATGCCACCAGCATCAACAATAGCTGGCTTATTGCTGGAGCACACAGAGAGTACTTTAAGTACACGAGAAGTGGTCCAAAGCAATTTCTCGTAATCGTAAGAACGCATGATGCGTACCAATTCGTTCGGACCACCAGAAGCAAGTATAATAAGTTTACTTTCTTGGTTGCCATATGCCAAAATTTGTAAGCAATCAGTAACAATAGCCAAAAACTTAACATTATTGCGTTGCAATAAAGTCACCATTTTCTGTAAACCGCCAGCTAAACGTACGGCCATCTTAGAGCCATCCTGATGCAATAACAAATTATGTAATGTGGTTATGGCATAGAAAAGTACGCTCTCAACTGGTGAAGACAATAACTTCACTAAAGCTGGTATGCCACCACTTTTGAATATAGCCAAAAGACCTTGGCGATGATGTGATAAATTGTGTAGAGTGCCAACGGCTGCTTTGGTGCTTTCCAAATCATTGCTATTGGAAATAGCACGGACAAGGGCAGCCACCATTTGTGGACTATTCATTATAGCATGACGTGAAGCTTCTTTCTTCGATAATTGGTGTACCATCATGGCTGCTTGAGAGACGACTACTTGATCCTCATCGTTAAGTAATTTAATCAATTCCGGTATAGCACGTGTTGCCAATTCAGCATCATCTTGATAATTGATTAAGTTGACTACGGCATGTTTCAACATTTGTGAAGGTTCTGATAAACGCTGTACAGCTGTTGGTTGTTGTGGATCAAACTGTGTTGATGGAATTTCGATGCCTTCTTCAAGCGTTTCTGGAAACATAGCTGCACGTACACGTTGTGAACGTGTTTGACTCAATTGTTGATTCATGTCATCAACTTGATCTTGAGTAAAGTTTTGTGGAAAACCAGTATCCAAGTCAAACATTAATGGATCTCCTTCCATTTCCTCATCTTCCTTGCCGGATATTGATGGTACTTGAGTGACAGCACCCGAATGAATACCAGAATCACTCAAGTAAGAGTTTTGCTGCCACATCAAAGTTTGTTCTTTTGACGAAACCATCGGTGGAAGATCCGGTGGATTATACTGGTTGTTATGAGACACTATAAGAAAGAGAAGAAAAAATTAATTTAATGACACTATGAGTAAAAAATTTATAATATTATTAGTATATAAAAAGACGAACCTTATAAGTATATATTAACGAATTAAAATTAATATAAAATTTTGAATAATGATAACATATAAATTTTGAGAAACTATAGATCTTGTTCCAAATAAGTTAGTTGTGCTCTATTTACGTATACAGACTTCAAACAGTAATTGATACTTATCGGTGTTTATATTTTAATGGTTTAAAATTTACAGGTCTCTATTTATATTCCATAACGATTTTTTAACATTAAGAAACAATAGTTCTAATATGCAGAATATAGTAATACTCAATATAATAAACAGCAAAACATTAAGATTGCTATTTATATTAATTCTAAAAACTCCGAAACCTCTTCTAGATATTTACCTAAGTCCACTAAATAATAGATATAGATTGTAATAATATAAAAAACAAAAAAAAAACGACACTTCCTATATAGTTGATTTTGTTCTAGTTGAAAAGAGCGAGTGGCATTTAGCCTTTGCTAGAACTGAAGTAGTTTCTACTTCGAAATCTCGTTTGTATCGTGTCAATGTGCTCAATAGCTTGCGGTTTAATAACTCTAGGGCTGAAATACGCAGCAACTTAAACTATTCTTACTTGTGATAAGGATAACAATTTCTTGTCACCTTTTAGCACGTCTATTATCAGTATGTTATAACTGCAATTCTATTTGTCATAACGTGGCTCATTTATTTTTATGTCCCAACACATACACAACAACTTGAGCCCTATTGATTTATCGCTCTGTCCAAAATTCGTTCCCTTTAACCCTAGTTTCAGTACACACACTCACATTCTTCTCGCTCATCCTCGAGAATCACTTTCCATCGAATCACTTTGTAGTTCATTTTAGTTTCTTGCTCTATAGCTTTCTTTCATGTTCTAATGTTCTACTATAACGACACAATATCCTATATAGTTCGATGAGTATACATAATAGGTAAAGGGAACTAATAAATCATATTATACTGTATTCTACTAACGAAGGTAAAAAATAGTATATATACAATTCCATTTACAAAGTAAATAGTACAAAGTATTCTTTAAATAATCATGTATGGTCTTTTGAAACACCATTTACGGTTCTAAAACTTAAAAAACTCATGGAACAATTGCTGAATAAAGTTAAATTTTTTTAAGGATAATATTTTTAAAATGTTTCTAATATTTTAATAAATTTTTACTTATATCCTGTTATAGCAAACGGAATGAAAATCCTTTATGCAACAGTAATATCACTTGAGCTGCTTAAAACCTCAAACGATTTTATATTAAATGAAAAGGAATGAAGTCCTTAAACAAATGAATTGCATTTAAATAAAAAATGCATTAAAATAATTACAATCTAAGTGCATTTTATTTGCGTACTTTTGAATAGAATTGCAAGAGTAGATTTCAGTTCAAAGTGAAAATTGCAAGCGTAGATGTTAAAACAAATCAATCGAACTGTTGTTATCAGTTGTTTAGCTAAAGAGTAAATTTGCAGAATGTATCTAGTATCTACTGTATACATCCAGTAGGCTTTAAAAATGAAAAATTAAATTTTTAAATCTTGAAGCAAATGTTCACTTAGAAAAAGGAACTTTGGTGTGGAAAAATCTATTTTAAATGTGAAAAAAAAATTAAAAATGTAAAGCGTTAATTTGAAATGCAAAAGGAAACATCAACATCAACAAATAAATAATAACAAGAAAAAATACACATATTTATATATACTCGTACATGAAAAGTATGAGATGAGATGTAGTGAATTGAAACGCCACGGGGCATCGAAAAAATTTAATGCTAAAATATGTTCTTCCAACAAACACGAGTCGCAATATCAACAAAAACAACAAAAACAAAAACAACAAAAGTGGCAAGTACCAGACGAAAAATGAAGGAATATTTCAGTTACAAAGTAAGTAAAAATCGGTCGAATGAAGTAGGAGTGAGGGGCAGTAAAATCAGCATCAGCGACAAATACAGTAACGTGGCTTGACAGAAAATGACATGACTCTTGTACTCGTTGTGGTTCTTGTTTTGTCCTGCCATTGTAGTTAGGCACATGCCCGTTAAAGATTTGGTACGTGTTGCATGTGGCAGGCAGCAGCCCACCATATTTTGCAAAATTTATATGATGCTTCGCTGAGGGTAGTTGAAGTTGGCATTTCACCATTAAACATAAAGACATCATCATTACACAAATATAGAATTTTTCTGATATTCATAAGGAAGGAAGGGTGTTGTTTGCGAATGAAAGCTAAATGGCACATTTTCAAGTCCCTTGGCAAACACAAATCCTAGTAAGATGTTAAAGCAACTACAGCATTTATTGCGCATTTCATGCATTCTTTTCCTTTAAGGACAATAGTATATTGTCAACATTACAATAGCACACAATGAATTGTCTAATGTTTTTATTAAATTTTTTTGGTGGTTAATTTACTAATTGAGCAAAAACAAAATTTGTGGTTTCATTTCATGGCTTTATGTTAACCAAACTAACTGGACAAACTTGCATACCTACAGAAAATACTCAATGTCCTCAATGTTTTTTTAGGTTGCACAACACAATTAACCCTTTATCAAATTTTATCTGCACGTTAACCATAAACATATTAAAAAAATAAAAACAAAAAAGTTACAAATTTTCAGACATCACAAAAATATATAATGAGATAATATATATAGAGGGTGCTTCCTGTATGCATGGCAAAAATGCAGGAGAAGAATACTTGATGCAGTCAAAATACGAAAAAAAATGCATCTGATGTAAGGTATTCGTTCGAGCTATTTTTGAGATTTTAAGGGTTTTTTTTTTGACTATAAAATATCTTTGATACCCTTTGTCTCCATTGAACATCCACCACTAAATTTTTTGTGTTTGGCTAAGGAATTATCTTCTTAATTTATGCTGTTTATTTAGAAAACAGTCATATGGGTATATATTAATATAGTACTAGTATTTTAGCTTTATTTTACTTCATTTTAAATATGTTGTATTACATAGAAATTTATAACAATTATATTATATATTACATCACTCAATAAGTCGTGTGACTGACACATAGATGGCGCTGCCATTGTCAAATCCATATGACGTTATGAAGTACCAACCTTCAAAAGACTATGTGTACAGTTTCATGACATTTCGATTAGTCAGAAAATAAGTGACAACAATTTAAGTGAAGCTATGTTAAAATAAGCTCACAGCTGGAAGATATACATTGTCATATATACGAATTTAAAAGCTATTCAACATCTTTAATAATAAATATTTTGATATGATTTATTTATTCATATTTTATTATTATAGTTAAGTATCTATGTGCACCGTTAATCTTATAGTTTATGTAGAATATACTATTCTACTATTTTATATTCTATTTGTTTAGAAATCTATTTCTAGATATGTAGTTCTATTTATCTATTTATATTTTGCAAAATATAAATAAAATAGATTAAGTACATAAGCTTAAAGGGAGTAGAGCATTGCCATCTTTGTGTTGTTGCTATGATCTATCCGGCAGATAACATGAAAGAAATTATATTACTACTTATAAAGTCTCATTTGGAACTGGTAAACGACACTTGATCATGGCTCCGGAACGTAGACCCGACCATTCCTGGAACCTTGAGACCTTTACAGATGTTTGTACTTAGAGTATAACCAAAAAAGTCTTTTTTTAGATAAGTAGTGATTACGAACTAGAGTCATATCAAAGGCGATCTATCACACGATATATATCTAGAAGACTCATTCCTTTTCACACAGGCCCAGCATACTGTTTTGTGTTGGGTTAAAGAATTATCTTCTTAATTTATGCTGTCTATTTATTTAAACAAATCCTTTCTTGTATAAATGATAATATAAACAAACAATACATAGTTTATTTATTTTTGTCGACTATTATTTTTTGGTAAATTTTATATAACTTCAGAATAGTATATTATTTTTATATTATTATTTTATTACATATTTAATTTTTACATATTAACCTTTTATTGTTACAATTTTATTCTTCACTGTTATTATTATTTTATTTTTCTTCTAACTACGTAACTACTATTACTATTTTTAGTATCAAACTGTGAAAACTTTTAATTATCATTATCAATATTATTTGAACCCAAGTAGGCTTTGGGTAGAAGACCATCACTCTCTCTAACCTAACGACCAAACCATTAATAATTATGCAAGTATCAAATTTAATGAGAAATTTATTATTTTTTAATTTAAATTTAACTATTAAAATAACTATCAAAAAATCGTATTACAATAAAAAATTATAAGATTAAAATAAAACTTAGATGACGGGTTCCAATAACGTTCCAAATTTTCTATATTAAAAAATACACTACCTTTTTTTACTACCTTAAAGAAAGGATGGCGAGAAATAAAATAAGAGAGTGAGGGAATTACTTTTTTCGTTCCACATGGTTACATAATTATTAATGTTGAAGTAAAGAGTAAAGTAAGGATGAGTTTGCCACATTGTACCCTTATGGTACAAAAACAGAAGTACAACAATATTATAGTTATGCCCACTCAAACAAAGGTAAGAACTATGATTGTTAAGGTTCAAATAGTTAAGAATATTAGCTATGGTATTTGATCTGCAAAATGTTAATATTAAGAAAGACGAATATGAAATAATTATAAAGAGGGTGATAAATACTATTATGATTTTCATCATTAAATGGGAATGTTATATAGATTATTATACAGAATAAATTTTATCCAATCTATACGCTCAATTGCAATGCAAACTATATTCATTTTTTTATCTTAATCTGTTTTTTTTTCTGTTGACCCTCATCTCTTTTTGTCCCGTGGTAACGATACTATCTACAAATTGTATGTTGCAATTTTTGAATTGTTACTTTATGAACTTTTTTTAAAATTTGAGATTTTTTTGTTTTTCTATTAAAACAAAAAAGTATCTATATAGTAATCCACTT